AGAAATACATTTATTCTACAAAAATAACTTTTAATTAATAGTTCGAACTAGGATCCATCTAGAAAAAGGCAGATCTCAAACCAGCCTTTTTGGCTATGTAACTGAGTAAAGTCACTTTCTTTAGCATTTGCTTCACCTGAACAACCCCAGCGGGACTCGAACCCGGTTGTGTTAGTGCAGCGTATAGTCTCGACAGATTAATCACTACCCAGACTGCTATGAGATCTTCTAGTTCATAGAGCAGCAGTGAATTTCTAGAAAATCTAGTTCTTTATCAGTTAACCTTGTGTGATAAGATTGTCAATGAAGTAAGGTTTTATTTTTTATGTCAATCCACTTCAAGACTACCCCTAGCTCATGTATCAGTGACCTCGGATCAAGAAGATTCTGTTGATGCCGACATTTATAAATTTTTTAAACGTCATACACTTTCAGTTGCAAGTTGTAAGTGAGCTTGATCTTCTTACCTGAACAGACCCACCCTCCCCGACTCGAATTGGAAGACGACCTACGGCCTGGCGCCAACTATCGCCGGAGGCAGATTTCGCCATGACGGAATCGGAACTCGTCAACTCGGCCGTGAATGCTGCCTCGAAGGGCAAATCGGACCGAGCCAATCCAATCCGAGCTGTGGCGACCGCGAAACGTGGCCCATATTCTTTTGTGTCCCTCGTGTTCCCAGTTCACTTGGACCCGCCGACTGCGCCAATCTTGCCTCTCGCTTCTTTCCTTCTCCACAAATTGCCCCCCCCTCCACCGCCCTCTTTTGGCCCTCCTCCCTCGGGCCAACGGGCCAGACAGCCTGACAACCAGGACAGTCTTATTAGCCCCGAAGGCCACCGGCAAGGCAACCCGGACTAGTCAAACTTGCCGCCATTACTGGCACCTGTGGAGTTGTCAAGGCGAGAGGGTGGAGGTGGCTGAGAGGTGGAAAATTTCCGACTGACTGAGAAGAAGAAGAGGACATTGACACACCTCCCTGCCCGAGGCTGTGTGGACAAAAGGTGAAATTGAGTTTTCTTTCGTGCAACTTGTGGAGCTTTCATAGGCGGAAACCAGATGTAGGCGATCACAAGAGCCACACGACTACTTTAAGAAGCTCAGAACAAAAGCAGCTGAGCGATTGTATGGAAGTAATAAACAAACTATTGAATGCGAAAAAAT